CTTTTACGTCTCTGGTTAGATTTATACCCAAGTATTTTATCTTCTTGGGGGCTATCATAAATGGCATTGATTTCGGGATTTCCTCTTTGAAGTTCTCTTTGTCGGTGTGGAGAAATCCGATTGATTTTTGTATGTTTATCTTGTATCCTGATACTTTGCTGAAATCTATTAGTTCCAGTAGTTTTCTTGAGGATTCTTTGGGGTTTTCTGTATATAAGATCACCTCGTCTACAAACAGAGATATTTTGACTTCTTCCTTATCAATTTGGATGCCCTTTATTTCTTTTTCTAGACTAACTTGTCTGGCTAGGACCTCCAGCACAATGTTGAATAAGAGTGGTTATAAAGGGCATCCTTGTCTGGTTCCTGTTCTCAAGGGGGAATGCTTTCAAACTCTGTCCATTTAGGATGATGTTGGCTGTTGGCTTTGTATAAACGCCCTTAGTTATGTTGAGGAATGTCCCTTCTATTCCTATTTTGCTGAGAGTTTTTATCATGAATTGGTGCTGGACTTTGTCAAATGCCTTTTCTGCATCAATTGATAAGATCATATGGTTCTTTTCTTTTGTTTTATTTATGTGATGGATTATATTGATTGTTTTTCTAATGTTGAACCATCCCTGCAGACCTGGTATAAATCCCACCTGATCATGGTGAATTATTTTTTTGATAAGTTGTTGAATTCTATTGGCTAGAATTTTGTTGAAGATTTTTGCGTCAATGTTCATGACGGATATTGGTCTGTAATTTTCTTTTTTTGTGGTGTCTTTACCTGGTTTGGGTATCAGGGCTATGCTGGCTTCATAGAATGAGTTTAGGAGTACTCCATCCTTTTCTATGCTCTGAAGTACCTTTAGTAGTCGTGGTATTAACTCTTCTCTGAGAGTTTAGTAGAATTCTCCAGTGAAACTGTCACTTCCATCTTCTTGTGATGCTTCCTGCATAATTTAATATTTTCCCTGTAGAATCCTTCACTGTTGCAACTTGAATTTTTTGAAAGTCTTGAATTTTTTCTTCAGTTATTTCAGCTTGAGAAATGCCGAGCGTGTTCTTCCCCTTTGGTTTTGTATCTCCAGCTCTTTGCACATGTCATTATAATAGTTTACTTTGTCTTCTCAACCCGCCCTTTGAAATCTTCTGTTCAGTTCTTTTACTTCATCATTTTTTCCTTTTGGTTTAGCTACAGGATTTTTTTTTTTTTTTTTTTAATGTAGGTGACAGTTATTCTATCACTTCTGTACTTTTAGATTGTTGTCGTTATTTGCTGTCAAATCAATTCCAACTCATGGCAACCCCGTGTTCAGAGTAGAACTGCTCTATAGGGTTTTCAATGGCTGCTTTTTTTTAAAATATGCCTCTGTGTGGACTTGAAGCTCCAACCTTCCGGTTAGCAGCCAAATGTGTTAACAGTTTGCGTCACCCAGGACCTCCAGGGGTAAGCAGCATAAATAAATAAGCAAGTCCTTGAAGATCACTGGCGTTCTTTGTTGTTGTTAACTGCCATTGAGTTGGCCCCCAACTCATGGGAATCCCATGCACAATAGAACAGAATGCTACCCTGTCTTGCACCATCCCCATGGTCGGTTGGGGGTCAGACTGCTGTGATCTATAGGGTTTTCAGTGGCTGATGTTAGAAGTGGATCACCAGGCCTTTCTTCCTAATCTTAGTCCAGGAGCTCTACTGAAACCTATTTAACACCATCAAGCCAAAAAAACCCATTGCCATGGAGTTGATTCTGACATAGCAATACCCAAACTCTACTGACAGATAGGTGTGACGGTACATAAGGTACATTGGCTGGGTATGGAACCTGATCTCCCACGTGGAAGGCAAGAATTCTACCACTGAATCACCACTGTCCCTACTTTCTTTCCGTAGGGATGAGTCCTTTTCCTTAGGAAATTAGAATTCAGGGAGGAGGTCCCCAGTGGACCTCAGATTTTTGAGGAAGAAAAGTCTGAGTTTAATTAAAATTTCTTAAGAAGGCCCTCTTCTAGTTTGTGTTTGTGACAATTGTTGCTAATGGTAAGTCTAGAGGAGGTTTTGTAGCATGATGGATATGGCCATTGTCAGGAGATACAGCTGAGTGAGTTCCACACCTACTTCTCCAATTTTTTTACTAAGGTGAAATCAGCTCAGATTGGAATGCCTGAGGCAACTTTGGAAATGTAAAAGTGTACCAGAGAGTGCCTGGAAGGATGTGCAGAAACAGGTGTGGTGCAGTAACACCCACTTTGCCTTGGTGACTATAGCTGATCAAATATGAGTCTTTCATAGCACTCTGAGCAATATAAACAAGGAATTTGGCTCCCAAATAGCCTGCTTGATTGGCTGTTTGGTAAAAATGATAGATTCATCCAGGACTTTAAAGTGAGAGAGGCCCATCTGGGTCCATATTGAGTCATTATTTGTCATGTTATGGTGACCCACAAAAAAAGTTTCTCAAATATTTTATATGCTATTGGGTATGGCATAGCAGTTAAGAGGTCTGGCTGTTAACCAAAAGGTCAGCAGTGTGAACCCACTAGCCCTCCTTGGAAACCCCATGGGGCCGTTCTACTCTGTCCTATAGGGTCACTGAGTCAGAATTGGCTCAACAGCAACGCGTTTTTTTGGCTTAGGTAACAAACAAAATATTGGCTATTAAATCATCTTCTAAAGAGGGAAGGTATTTCAAATTGAAATCTTGACTTTGTATTTGGTGATAATTTCTTAGTTTTAAACCCCAGTTAATGTAAAATTGGTGCTGCTTAAACATATAGTTACATAGGGAATATGCCTAATTCTATTTTAGGCAAATGGTGATTTTCTATTGGTAACATGACTTCATTGTCATCTTTTCCAACAGGAATTGTAAGAATTTAAGTCAAGAATACTTGTACAGGTCTTATGACTGCTTCTGCATATAACAAGCAGTGTCAAGACAACACTAACATTTTTTATTTGCACTGATATTAATTTTTTTCATTTTAAAACTACAAATTCAACATAAAGTCTGTAAGATTTAATTTTATTGTTTTTAATGCTAACAAAGCCCACTTTATAATCAGAATCTTTACTTTTTTTTTTCTTTTCCTGAATAAAGAAACATAGAACAATGGTCAGTTATACATTCAGGATTCCAGTAAGAATTTGTCATTTAAGAGAGGTTATGTAAATTTAAAATGAATGGAGGAGGGAAAAAAGCAGTAAATTAAGAAAGGTGAAAGGATTTTTTTCCTTCTTTGAACTGTGCTGCTTGAACTAATATAACCAAATCTCCCTAATTTTTTAAAAATAATTTATTAAAAAAAATTTTAAACAATTGTCCCCGCTAAACACAGGGAGGGGTAACAACAAATCCTCCTTTGTTTCAAACCTTGTTGATGAAAATAATTCAAAATGTGTTAGTATTACGTACGACCTGGTGAGTGCGTTGGGCATATCTCATCACTTCCATGATCTTTCCCCTGCATTGTATCTACCTATAGGACATCATGCTTGGTAAAGTAGGTCAGCAAAAAAGAGGAAGACCCTCAAGGAGATTGATTGACACAGTGGCTGCAACAATGGGCTCAAGCATAACAACTACTGTGATGATGGCACAGGACTGCGCAGTGTTTCCTTGTGTTGTACACAGGGTCGCTATGCGTCGGAACTGACTTTATGGCACCTAACAACAACATACATGGAGATGATTGTCAAGAATCTACTGATTCCAGTGTCTGGACTCTTAAAGTTGCTTTCATTTGAAGATGTTCCAGCTGTGTTCCCAGCTTTCTTGCGAAGAATTTCTCTCAATTCACACAAACCCTCCTCCTCCCCCGCCCCAGGGTAAAATGAGACTTCCACTAACTTGAAGAACGGTCTATAAAGTTCCTGTACCAGTTTTCGATAAACTGCTTTTTGCCGGCTATTTGTATCCGGTAAAAACCTATTATAAAAAAATAAGAAACTATTAAAATATGAATATGCAGACAAAGGGAATCGTAGTTTTATGAAAAATGAAATCATGAATTGAGAACGGCGCTGGTGGATGATTTGTATTTAGGTGAAGTCATCTGATGTTTCACTTGCTTATTTGGGGGTTGCCAAACTGTTTCCCAAGACTTAAAGATTATTAACGATGATAAAACTCAGTTTCGAATCCTGTCAAAGGCTCGGCCCGTTGCCTTTTACTTCCAGGCAATACTTGATTCAATCAGGTCTTGCCCCTGTGAGGACTGATTTCAACCCTAGCCTTTCGACACAGGTTATTTTCTCCGAAGGAAAGTCAAAACATCCAAAAATCAAAGAACTCAGCCATCAATAGAGCCGGAGGAAAGTGGAGTAGACACATTAAACGGGCTCCTCAGACCTTACTCATCACCTCAGCCTTTAGGGATGTTAAAGCGAGGACTAGGAGGAACCGGAGGGCAGAGAGGGATGGCGGTAAACGGCTCGAGCTTTAGTCCAAGCCAGAGACAAAGGTGAGTAACTGCGCATAGGGAACGGAGAGATGGGCAGTAGGAGGCTCCACAGTTCCCAGCCGGGTGGCGTGACTTTAGTAGGACCCAGAAAATCAGCCAGGACTGGGTAGGGAAGGAAGGTCCACGCCAGGGGGGCGAACCGCCTGATCGCAGGAGGGGCGCGATTGGGAACGCCCCTTCCGGGCCCCGCCCCGCTGCGCGGGGTTGAGCAATGAAACCCAGGCGAGCGCCCGGTCACGCGCCGGGGCGGCCAGACCGCCTCCGGCTTCCCTGGGCGGGCGGCTCGGAGGAAGAGCGCGTGCCTCACGTCCTCTCCGCCCAGTCCCGCCCCCTGCGCGGTGCGCACGCGCGATCATCCCGCCCCGCCCCTTCTCGTCCCCGCTGGGGTGATAGGGTGGGGGCGGGGTAGCCGAAGTGGGGCGACCGCCCGGGCTCCTAGACTGCGAGCACGCGAGCCACCGCTGCCACCTCCGCCGCGTCACGGCTCCCGGGCCCGCCCGCTCCTGGCCCCTCCTTCCCGTGCCGCTTTCCCCTCCTTTTGCCCTCCCCCTCCGACCGAGCGGTGACCTAAGCAACGGAGCGCAGTGAAGCCCATTTTTCTCTTTCCTCGCAGCCGCGCCGTGGAGCCCGTGGCGCGCGGCCCCCACATTGCGGCCCGAGATGAATGCTGCGGCAGAAACCGAGTTCAACATCCTTCTGGCCACCGATTCCTACAAGGTAGAAGCTCGGGGCGGAGGCAGGTGACGAAGGAGGAAGGGGCGCGTCGGGGACGGGCGAGAGGCGGGAGGTGGCTGGGTCTGGGGTCGTGGCGCGGGGGCGGCCCCGTGGGAAGGCGCCGGCGGCGGCGGCGGGGCAGGTGAAGCTGACGCCGCAATGGGAAGGAGGTGGATGGAGGAGGGATGGAGGGATGGACGACAGGAGGCGGGGCCTGCGGTGCGCGGTAGGGGGGCGCGGCGAGGGGCTGAGGCGGGTCCGTGGCAGGCACCGCCCGAGAGCCCGCCGGTGCCTCCGCCAGCCTTGGGGCTCGGCCAGCGCCGTGGGGTCGGGACCGGGGAGGGTCGGGCTTTCCCTGCCGAGCGCACACCTTCCCTAGGAGCCGTGGCCTCTTGGCCTCAGACTGGACTGGGTTGGGTTGCGCTGGGCGAGGGCTTCCCCGAGGAGCGGGTCTGTTAGGTAACGGCCCCTGGGGCTCGGGGGTGGAGAGACGGAGCGGAGTTTGAGAAATGGGATTTTCTCTGCCCATTTGGGTCCTGTCCATTCGCCCCTTGCTGGACAGCTACGACCCTTCTCGGGGAAGGGGTGGACGAGGTCCTGGGAGGGGCGCCGGAGCAGCCACGTTCTTCTGCCTGTAGCCCCCGTGTGGAGGGCACATGTCTGTCCCCTGTATCCGTGCTGGACCCGCCCCACTCCATTGGGCTCCGTTTCAAACTCCTTTGCTCATAGTGATCACTCATGCTCCTTATCCGGTATTATAAAAGCCAATCTGCCCTTACTCCGCTGGGTACAGTACAGTATTTCTGTGAAAAGGAAAGTGAAACACGAGGAGTTAAAGAAACTATAGTTTTAACCCTGGGGAACGTGCAGAGAGGGAAATGGCACATTTGTGTTAGTATGCCTATTGGACGCTTGCATGTGTAGCTGCCCCATTAATTTATTTGAAACACACATTAGTAAAATGAAAAATAATTAAAGGAAAAATCTGGCAAGTATTCTTTACTCTGGTTTCTAAATTATATGAAGTAAACCGGACCATGCTAAACTTTGTTAACCAAGACACTTAAAAGAAGAAATGTCAGACCAGAAACCCCAGTTGCACAAAATGAATTTTAATGTTTTATTTGAGCAACATGGTGGTTTGGAGTATAGTGGTAAAGCATAGTATACCCTCATGGTTGTTTTTTGTTATTGTTTGCTTTTTGTTTCTTTGTCTTTAATTTTCCTTAAATATTCTGAGAAAGTATTTTGGAATCCCAGTTAAGTTTTTTTTTTTTTAAATTGTACTTCAGGTGAAGGCTTACAAAACAAATAGCTTCTCATGAAACGGTAGTACACATATTGTTTTATGACATTGGTTAACAACCCCACAACATGTCAACCCTCTCCCTTCTCGACATTTTTGTTGTTGTTGTTGAAAATATACGTAGCCAAAGATACACCATTTCAAAAATTTTTACATGCACAGTTCAGTGACATCGACTACGCTCTTCCAGTTGTGCTGCTATTCTCACTTTAGATGAAGGCTTACAGAACAAAATAGTTTCTCATTCAACAGTTAGTACACATGTTGCCCTATGACAGTGGTTAACAACCTCACTACACATCAACACTGGCCTTACTCAACCTTGGGTTCCCTATCACTAGCTTTCCTGTTCCCTTCTGCCTTCTAGCCCTTGTCCCTGGACTGCTGTGCCTCACTAGTCCCATTTGGTTTTGTGGGGCTGTCCAGTCCCCGGCTGAACGGTGAACATCAGAAGTGACTTCACCACTGAGCTGAAAGGGTGTCTGGGAGCCATACTGTCGGGGTTTTTCCAGTCTCCTTTAGGCCAGTAAATCTGGTCTTTTTTTTGTGAGTTAGAATTATGCTCTACATCCTTCTCCAGCTCTGTCCAGACCCTCTGTTGTGATCCTGGTCAGAGCAGTCAGTGGTGGTAGCTGGGCTCCATCTAGCTGTACTGGACTCAGTCT